ATTGGTTTCAAGAGTAGAATTTAGTGATTTATCCCTTCCAAACAACACCCAGGGCTCAACACAAGGGCCTTTCTTAATGTCCATCACCCATTTAGCCCATCCCCCACCCACTTCCCCTCCAGTAACCCTCAGTTTGTTCTCTATAGTTAATGGTCTCTTACAGTTTGCTTCCCTCTCTTTTTTTTTGTTTTCCCTTCCCTCTCTCTTTTTGTTCATTCATCTGTTTTGTTTCTTAGATTCCACATATATGTGAAATCATATGGTACTTGTCTTTCTCTGACAGTAAGTCCAATATTTAATATACATAATTTATTAGGTGGCATTTAGCAATGGTTAAGAGTATAGGGTCTGGAATCAGCTATGTGGTCTTGAGTCCCAACTTCATCACTTTTCTAGTTGTGCAGTCCTAGCAAGTTATTGAACCTCACTGGGCTCCAGTGAAAAAATCTGCAAAATGAGGAAATAATTATATCTACCTCACAGGATTTTTGTGAATATTACATGAAATTACTCTTCATTCTTAGAATAGTGCCTCATTGGAGCTCATCAATGTAAGCTACCATGTTAGTTCAAGAAAAGGAAAATTTGTGTACGTCAATCACTATGTAATAAACCATGATAATCAAAGGGAGCCATGATGCAAGAGATAAAATAATAGGAAATCGCTAATCTACTTTTCTTTGACACTAGATAGGTTGGCCTTGATATGTCTTGAATTCATTTGAAATTTCCAAAAATCTGTTAAAAAACAAAACAAAACAAAAAAACAAAAAACAGAAAAAACGGGGAAATCAGCTTAGGAGCATGAGTTTTAAAAATGTGCTTTTAGACAACGTGGATGGAACTAGAGGGTATTATGCTTAGCGAAATAAGTCAATTGGAGAAAGACAACGATCATATGATCTCCCTGATATGAGGAAGTGGAGCTGCAACGTGGGGGGGCTTGGGGGTAGGAAAAGAATAAATGAAACAAGATGGGCTTGGGAGGGAGACAAACCATAAGAGACTCTTAATGTCACAAAACAAACTGAGGGTGAGGGGCGGGTAGGGAGAGGGTGGTGGGTTATGGACATTGGGGAGGGTATGTGCTATCGTGAGTGCTGTGAAGTATGTAAACCTGGTGATTCACAGACCTGTACCCCTGAGGCTAATAATACATTATATGTTTATTAAAAAAATTATTTAAAAAATATGCTTTTAATTTTTAAATTTTTTTTATTACTTTTACTTTTTAATTATAAAATATTCCAGGGGTGCGTGGGTGGCTCAGTCAGTTAAGTATCTACCTTCAGCTCAGTTCATGATCCCAGAGTCCTGAGATAGAGCCCCCCCAACAGGCTCCCTGCTCTGCAGAGGGCCTGCTTCTCCCTCTCCCATTGCCGCTGCCCCAGTTTGTGTGCGCGCTCTCTCTCTAATAAATAAATAAATAAATAAATAAAATCTTTAAAATAAATAATAAAATATTCCATATTTGCAAAAGAAAATGGTTATACATATATAGCATAAATAATAAAATGAAAACCATATTCTTACTACCTAGTTTAAATATTGTGGCGGAGATAGCAAGAGGACCCTCCAATATCCATTTTCCCACTTTACAGTAGTAATAGAAATCATTTAGCGGGGCAAATGGTTGCCCAGCTAAAAACTACATTTCCAGCCTTTTTTGCCGCTATGCACAGTCATGTGACCAGGTTCTGGCCAATAGGATGAGAGCAGAAGGTGTACACTTTAGACCTCGCCCCAGTAAGGAAATGAATGCAGCATTGCCATCTCTTTTTTCCCATTCCAACTGATTAGAACTTGTGGTTAACCATTTTTGACCGCAAGGGCAAGGGGCAACATCGTAATGATGGCAGACTAATAAAATGGAAGAAATCTGTGTCCCTGGCATTTTGGCATTGCCGTGGCAGCCCAGAATTGCCTGACACTAGGTGAGAGAAAAATACACTTACATCATATTTAGGTCGTGTGGTTTTGTATCCTAATATAATTATCAATACTTTGGAAGCAATCTTTGTGCACTTCTACAATCCCATTTCTGGAATTGTATGTGCCATTTATTTCCTTTTCTTCATAGCTTTGTCACACATGGTCACATATGTACATACTCCTAAATGCAAAGTCATGCATGTTTTCAAGCTTCGTATGAGTGAAATCATACTGTGTGCATTTTTTCTATAACCTTTTTTCCCTCTGTCAACATTATACTTATGCAATCCATCCGTGTAATAAGTGTAGCTATGGTTTATCAATTTTCTACTGCTATATTAAACTTTCTGTGTAATATTAAATTATATGAAAATACCTCAGGGTATCCATTCAGCATTATTGGACATTTAGGATATTTATAGTTGTTGATTATTGTACAAAGATGCTGTGAATATTCTTACACCTGTCTCCTAGGACACATGTGCAACAATTTCTCTAGGATATACTCCTGGATCAGAATTGTGGTGTTAGAGTATGTGCATCTTCAACTTTACCAGATAATGCCAGATTGTTTTTCAAAATGGTTGTCTCATCTATTCCTCCTTGCTAACACTTGCACTCAGGTAGGCCACATGATTAAGTTCTGGCCAGTGGGATGTATGTAGAAGTGTCATTTGGGAATTCTAGAAAAGCACCTTACTTTGGGGCTCAGCTGAGTGGTATCCAACTTTTTTTTTCACCCTCTTCCTCTTTGCTGCTACTTGGAGTGCAAATAGGATGGCTGGAGCTCCAGCAGCCATTCAGAACCAAGAGATGACCTACTTTATAGGTGTAAGTCAGAGACAGGATATTGGAGCTGAAGACAAAAGAGCCTGAGTTCCTGGTGATCATGAAGCCACCATAATTCTAGACTTATGCAAGAAAAAAAATAAACATTTATTCTGTTTAAGTCACCAGATTTGGGGGATTTTTGTTACAGGTATCTGAATGTAAGCCCAGTTGAGTGTTTTTGTTTCTCACTGATTTTTAGGAATTCTTTATATAATCTGGGTACTAGTCAATGTGGATTTTATTTGAGGGAAATGCCTTTTCCTGGCTTGTGGCTTGTCTTTTCATTCTCCTTTGATGTTTTGATGTACACTAAAAATTAATTGTAATGTAGTTAAATTTATTGTGGAAAAGGATTTCTCCTTGGATTATTCATGGCATTGATAAATTTAAAAAACCGATGTCCCCAAGTTTACTGTACATAAAACCAGCATAGTTGAAAGTGGATCTGTCATTCTGATTCCTTTCCTGCATTTTTCAGCACTTTTTTTTTCCACGTTAAAGATTAGGAGATGTATATTCAATGGATGTTTAGGTCTGTAGGAACCTTCATATTGCTATAAGGAAGGGATTGCCAAACTCTTTCCTGTGACGGCCCAGACTGTACATATTCCAGGGTTTGCAAGCCAATGTCTGTCACAACCACTGAACTCTGCTTTTGGAGTGATAAAGTAGTGTAAACAATATGTGAGGCATAAGCATGGCTTTATCCATGGCACCGAAGTTTGAATTTCATATAATTTCACATCAAAAAAAAATTCTTTTGGGCGCCTGGGTGGCTCAGTGGGTTAAGCCGCTGCCTTCGGCTCAGGTCGTGGTCTCAGGGTCCTGGGATCGACTCCCGCATCGGGCTCTCTGCTCAGCAGGGAGCCTGCTTCCCTTCCTCTCTCTCTCTGCCTGCCTCTCTGCCTACTTGTGATCTCTGTCTGTCAAATAAATAAATAAAATCTTTAAAAAAAAATTCTTTTGATTTTTTTCAGCCATTTTTCAGCCACTTAGCTCATAGGCTATACTAAAACAGGCGGTGGGCTGGGCAGTAGTTTGCTGACTCCTCTCAGAGTGTTGTAATGAATCCTGTGGGACAAACTGCATCTGCTGAGAGACGTTGCCTAACACACTATCTCCAAAGCAGTTTCTGAGCTTGTTCTATGCCTTAGAAAGCTGTATAAAGATCAGGACCAGGAAGTGAAAAAAAGGCAAGTGGCAGTCTTAGGCTGTGAAATATGTTTATGACAAGATGTCCCCTGCCTAAATGGGTGCATTGTGAGGTAAGGGGCTGCTGAACTACCATTGTGTGGCAAGTGTGCTTAGTCCTCTGCAGTGGGAGCACATTGCCTGGATCCATGTCCTCTATTCCCAGAGAAAGCTGCGTGTAAAAATATCCAGTTACTGGTATTGGATGCTCTGGGGAGGGGGGGGGGGGGGGGGGGCATTTGGGTTTCAGCCATTCAGTCCCCTTTTCAGCAAATGTTTCAAAGTCTTGGTTTTTCTTTTCACCACCTTGGTCTTTGAACCCGAACCTTGAAACCCCCAGGGAGTGTTCTGTAAAGCTAATTAATGGCAGGGACCCTGTCCTCAGGGTAGGAAGGAGAATTGTTTTTGTTGTGTGTTTATCAAGCAGGACCTCTTTTGGGGCAGACAGATGGGGTCATTAGGCCAGTGACCCAAGACGTGCAAAAATCATGTTCTCACAAAACCCCCTCCCCCTCCTCCCAGACTCCACAGGCAGCGTCATCCTGCAGTGGTTAGCCAAAGGCCAGAGATACCCACACTAGGAGAACAGAGCTGTGCACAAGACCACACGTTGGAAGAAGCAGCCTCTAACTGCCCAGCCTGGGAGGATCCTTTAATCACGGGAGCGCGGCCAGAAGTCCCTGGAGAAGAATGGAACCTTTGGAGGCAGGTGCATCAGCCAGCCCCTTGGGGAAGTCAGGTCCCTGACACGTCCCCCAGAAAGTTACTGTCTGCAGGACCCTAGTGGTAACCTGGTGGCTTGAGAGTACCGGCCCAAACCTCCCAGACACCTCGCCATACTCTCCGCAACCCCTCCCCTAAGTTCCCCTCCACGGAGGCCCCGCCCACCCCCGGCGGTCGCACCCGCGGCCGGGCCGCTCTGGGGGCAGGGGCCCCGGGACCTGGGGCAGCCCGGCCTGACCTCGACCGAGGCGGCCCGACGTCTAGTTCCACCCGGTCAGCGCAGGCCGGGGCCCACGGGCCCCTCCCTCCACCTTTCCCCCGCCCTGGCGCCCGGCACGGGCCGCGCTCCCTCGCAGCGGCGGGGCCCGCAGGCGGCCATGGCGGCGGGCGCCGGGGGCAGGCCGGCGCCGCGCTGGCTGAAGGCGCTGGCCGAGCCGCTGAGCGCGGCGCAGCTGCGGCGGCTGGAGGAGCACCGCTACAGCGCGGCGGGCGTCTCGCTGCTGGAGCCGCCGCTGCAGATCTACTGGACCTGGCTGCTCCAGTGGATCCCGCTGTGGATGGCCCCCAACTCCATCACCCTCCTGGGCCTGGCCATCAACCTGCTAACCACCCTCCTGCTCATCTCCTACTGCCCCACGGCCACCGAGGAGGTAGGGCCCGCCTTCCGCTCGCGGCCCGCGCCGGGAGCCTCGGCCGCGGAGGAGGGACCCCCAACTGCTGTCCCGGGAACCCCGCGTTCCCAATCCCAGCCCCGCCCCAGTGCACAGCTGTTCGGCCGCTGGAGGCGCCCGGGGAGCGGGGAGACCCCGCGCGGATGACTCTCCCGGGGCGGGGTGGGGGTCAGACACAACCACTGCCCCGCGCCGCGTCCGTCCCGAGACTCCCCTGGGCCGCCTGGAGGCTGTCGCGCCGCTACCTCAGGTCTGCGTCTACCCCGAGCCTCCCCGGGCGGCAGAGGGGTTGTCAAGGTCACTGCCTCAGCCCAGGTCCACTCCAGCCTCCCCCGGCCACTGAGAGCCGGGGGCCTGTCTGCCCGGCCTCCAGCCAAGTCTGGCGCGGAGCTGTGGGATGGATAAGCCGTCGGTTACTTTGCACACTGGGGGGAACTGAACGCCCCTATCTCCGGCCCGCCGGGCACCGCGGCCTGCGGTCGGGTTGGCCAAGCCCGAGTTACCCTTCGGACACTTTTATAATCGTTTCTCAAGGTTGTGCTAGTGATCTGAAATTACTGGTAGCACTGATCAAAGATAAGTTACTTCCAAGAGATAACTTCCTCTTTGCTTCATTGACATGCAAAACAAACTAAAGTATTAGCAAGGAGATAATCCTTACTATCGCGACCCAGGGATCCCGAATACCGACGCATTTTAGCTGTGCGTATTTGACCTGTGTCGGAAATGAGAGTAAATAACGTCAGCTTCGGACAACTGTTACTCAGAAGCTCCGCACCCCATGGGCTCAGTGTGGACAGGATAGGAGGCAGAGGAGGTTCACTCGCATTTTTAGCTTTAATGTGGAGTACATGGGATAAATAACTCATTGCACATTCTGTGACACTGCTTTCTTTGCTCTCCAAATAGTGAAATCCCTTTTATAATCATATTTGAGTATAGGTTCTGTGGGGAACTAATTCAAATTAAGGTTGGATAGCAGGAATACAATGGAAATATTTTAGGCCTTCCATGCTAGGCGTCCATTTAAAAAAATATTTAATGGAGCCTACGTTTTAAAATCTATCTTGCCAGTCGATGCTTATGTTTATTACATATGAGTTCTTGGCAGATTTTGCACTGTTATTCATTTTCATCTTGTTTGCAAAAAGTAAGTATCTTTTGTTTTTGTTTTTTTGCAGCCCGTTTGCAGAATTTCCTCAAGGCCTAGAGGTGGTTGTGCTAGAATGGAGGAGCTCTGGGTTTAGAAGTGGAAGGCTTGGGTTCCCATGGGGCTGCATCACACCATGGAAAGACCTGCTGGTCAGTTTTCCCATGTGTGAAATAGAAAATCATGCCTGCAGAACCAATTTCACAAGAATGCAGCGAGGATCAAATACCATATTACCTGAAGATAAATGTAGAAAGTGGCAATTTGCCCAACAAATTTAAAATATTACTCAACACATTAAAAATATCACTTTTAATAAAAATGTCCTGACAATGTATAAAAAAATTTAGTTTTTATTGGGCCTGAATTTGGCTAACAGCATATGGGCGCTTCTGATACTTGCCATGTGACTGTGTCGATATTATTTTGAACCATTTGTTTTTGTTTTTTTTTTAAGATTTTTATTTATTTATTTGACAGAGAGAGATCACAAGCAGGCAGGCAGAGAGAGAGAGGAGGAAGCAGGCTCCTTGCTGAGCAGAGAGCCCGATGCGGGGCTCGATCCCAGGACCCTGAGATCATGACCTGAGCCGCAGGCAGAGGCTTAACCCACTGAGCCACCCAGGCACCCCTCAGAACCATTTGTTGAGCACTTAGAAAAACGAGGGCATACGAACAAGTCCAAGAGATGCTGTGTAGGAGTATTAAGTGGGGCCTGATGGAAGAGGTAAAGTTATGATTAATTTTTAGGCTCAGCCTCATTTAAAAAAAAAAAAAAGGTTGGGGGAGTTGGGAATCTCAGACACAAAAAAAAGTGGAAAAAATCAAAGTGGCCCCCAAAGAGTTAAAATAATAAGATGAAACTGAGAAGAGTTTCTGAAATGTATGATAGTAGATCCTCCTGCACTTGCTTCTAAGTGGCTGTAGCTGTGAGGGGACAAGCCATTCATTACAGGATTCATATTGCAGGTTTGATAAAATCCCAGTAATCGCAGGAAAGAAGTAATGATAGTTCAAGATACTTTGCTTTCAGGTCACAGAGCTAGTAAATGACGGGACCTGATGACAGGATTCAGATCTAAGTCCATCTGACCCCAAAGCCCATGTATATATTTTCAACGCATCACCACCTTCTGGTCCAGAGTTTCTGCCTTTGTCTATGTTGTATGCAGGAAAAATTCCTTGTATGTTATATAAGATTTAATCAGGTACATAAAGTGCTTTCACATCCATTGTTGCCTTTGTGTTTTATATCTACCCAAGGAGGCTGGCAAGTTTTTTCCCTTCCTAGAATGGCCTTTCTACCATTTTAGTATTTCTTCTATCCATCCATCCTGAAGTAATAGTAGTATATATGTTTTTATTAAGAGGAAATTGAGGTCTGGAGGGTTAAGTGATTTTTAACCTGGATTATAAAGTGTTTTCTGATTCTTAGACTTAAGAACTCTTAGTGCTTTTCAAACTTGACAGATTGCTTCCAGAAAGAGGAAAAATGCGTAAGGTTTTTGGATTTAGATGTTTAGGCTTCTGTACCCATATAGGATGACATGTATGCAATGCTGACTATATATCTATATTAATAATAACACTTGATCTATTTTTTTAAACTACTGTTTTAACTTCTAGGACATAAATGGGGATGAAGGGAACCTAATAGAAAAAAATTAAATGATTTATATTAAGTTCTACAGTGGGTGTTCCTTTTTCTTCTTCTTTTTTTCTACAATGGTGTTTTTTTTTGTTGTTTTGTTTTTAAAGATTTTATTTATTTATTTGAAAGAGAGAGAGATCACAAGTAGGCAGAGAGGCAGGCAGAGAGAAGAGGGGAAAGCAGGCTCCCCGCCGAGCAGAGATCCCGATGTGGGGCTCGATCCCAGGACCCCGGGATCATGACCTGAGCTGAAGGCAGAGGCTCAACCCACTGAGCCACCCAGGTGCCCCTACAATGGTGTTCTGAACTGCATGTCATGCTGCCGTTTTTGTTAAGGAACTTTTCACTCCAGCCAAACTGAACTGCTTGCTATATAGCAAGGATTTCTTTTTGTCCCTCTCTTTTCTCCTTCTCCTTCCTTCCTCCTGTCCTGCTTCCATCTCTCAATGCCCAGTTCTAACGACTTCCTTGTAAAATTTTTCTTCATTCTCGAGAGTCTGTCCTCTAAAACTCCAGTAAAAATAACAGTATCAATGAACATTTACTGGGTATTAACTGTGTATAAGGCATTATTTGAAGGTGCTTTAGCCTGTTGTCTCATTTAATCCTCTAAACAACTTTAAGAAGTGGTAGTATTATTATCCCCATTTTATAGATTAGGAAACTGAAGAGAAATTAACCTCTTCAGGGTAGGTAGCTTTAACTGGAGACCAGGATTCCAAGCCAGAACGCTATGCTTCAGCCCTGGGGCTTTGTAGGTCTCCTGGGGAACTTCTCCATTTTATTTTGGTTACGTGTGTCCTTACTGAGCAGGACAGTCTACCAACTTTTAAGTTCAGAGAAAGATTGCCGATTTGTACAATCTGTACTGCACAGCACTTTGCATAACACAGAGGCTTAGTAAATTTTCACTAGATTATTGTCTGCGTGAATGAAATGGCATCTTGGAAGATGATGTTTTTCCACCCTCATCAGTTTAAGCTGGTCTTGGATTAAATAAGTATCAGTTGTTGGGCCTGGGGATTTTAACGAGAGTAAGCAAGAGTTAGGGCTACTAGAGAAAAGTGGAACTGAATTGTCCCACTTCTCACCTGGATGAAGCAGTTCTATCTGAATGCTACTCTGTATGGAGTCCTTGACTGCTCCCCCCGCCCCTCCATTCCTTGCTGCCTAATCCTGAAATAGAATCACAGACTTAAACAGTTTGAAGGACTTTAGAACTTAGTTAATGCAATTCCTAAATTTGTATATAAGAAAACTCAGTGATTCGGATCTAATTCTTTAGGCTCCAGGCTAATGACACATCAGTGTCATTGATTAGAGCACATAGATGCCTAGTATAGGGTCAGGTCAGAAGGCATTAATGTATTTATTTTGTTAATGATGATAGAAAGTTGTACCAAAAACGACGTTTTTCTGAGGAAGTCAGAAAGACCATAAGAAATGGTTCGTTCCCTGTCAAAATGATTCAGATTATAGTTGCCTTTGCACTATAAAGTAAAGGGTTATTTGTTGGGGAATAATAAGAAAAGGAAACAATCTTTAAATTCCTACTCAGATTGTTCTCCTTGGGTTTGGTTTCTTCAAAATATTGTATTTCCTTTTTTTTTTTTTTTAAAGATTTATTTATTTGACAGATCACAAGTAGGCAGAGAGGCAGGCAGAGAGAGAGGAGGAAGCAGGCTCCCCACGGAGCAGAGAGCCCGATGCGGGGTGATCCCAGGACCCTGGGATCATGACCTGAGCAGAAGGCAGAGGCTTCAACCCACCAGGCCACCCAGGCGCCCCTGTATTTCCTTTTTTATTACCTGTCTCCATCTTTATTTTCTTTTAACCAGATCAGTAACTTACCAGACATCATTTATTAAGGCAGGACTCTTGTTAGGGAGTGGTCTAGTCTTAATAAAACAAAATATAAACTCCAACTCCTTTCCTGAGGTGGAAATTTGAGAAAGCGGGGCAGGGAAGGGAACTAAAATGAGGCAAGCAGTCACTTAGGCCTCGGGACTTAAGGGGGCACCGGAAGGACCCTGATCCTGAGGGTAAATACAGCCTCAATTTCTGTACGAACCCCTGGTGGCTCACTGGCCTCACCATTTTCCCAGCCTTGGCTGGAGGGAGCTTCTGCAGGTAATTGCTTTGGGACTTGACTCTTTGATTCCTATGGTTTTCCTATAC